GTTGGCAGACTTTTACAGCCTCACGGTGTCAATGAAAATAGTCCATCTGCTCTGTAGTTATTCCCAGATTTTCATCAGCATCTGCTGAGAGTGACTGCTATCTAGTCTCTGGTCATTGGCATCTACTACTTCTGCCAATGTCCTCCCTTTCTCCTTGGTTCTGGGTTGTCAGGTCCACCCAGATCCTCTCGGTCCTCAGGCCACTTCACGCTCTCTTGCAGGCTCTTCCTCTGCTACTCTCAGGGACACAGGACAACTCAGATGTTTGCCAAGTTAGCCTTAAAGCAGTGGAGTATAATATGTAACCTCTCTACGTGTGTTCAAACAAAAACACGCTCCCTCTAAACCTGGGGTCAAAGAAATGTTACTGAATTACAATTCTCCCCCTAGAAGCTAAAAATTTATCTCTGATATTTTTCTTAGGTCCATTTAAAAACAAATAATCCAGTGAAGAAATGGGCAGAAAACATGAATAGACACTTCTCTAAAGAAGACATCCAGATGGCAAACAGGCACATGAAAAGATGCTCAATGTCACTCCTCATCAGGGAAATACAAATCAAAACCATACTCAGATATCACCTCACGCCAGTCAGAGTGGCTAAAATGAACAAATCAGGAGACTATAGATGCTGGAGAGGATGTGGAGAAATGGGAACCCTCTTGCACTGTTGGTGGGAATGCAAACTGGTGCGGCCACTCTGGAAAACAGTGTGGAGGTTCCTCAAAAAATTAAAAATAGACCTACCCTATGACTCAGCAATAGCACTGCTAGGAATTTACCCAAGGGATATAGGAGTGCTGATGCATAGGGGCACTTGTACCCCAATGTTTATAGCAACACTCTAAACAATAGCCAAATTATGGAAAGAGCCTAAATGTCCATCAACTGATGAATGGATAAAGAAATTATGGTTTATATACACAATAGAATACTACATGGCAATGAGAAAGAATGAAATACGGCCTTTTGTAGCAACGTGGATGGAACTGGAGAGTGTGATGCTAAGTGAAATAAGTCATACAGAGAAAGACAGATACCATATGTTTTCACTCTTATGTGGATCCTGAGAAACTTAACAGAAGTCCATGGGAGAGGGGAAGAAAAAAAAAAGAGGTTAGAGAGGGAGAGAGCCAAAGCATAAGAGACTCTTAAAAACTGAGAACAAACTGAGGGTAGATGGGGGGTGGGTGATGGGTATTGAGGAGGGCACCTGTTGGGATGAGCACTGGGTGTTGTATGGAAACCAGTTTGACAATAAATTTCATATTAAAAAAAATAAAAAAATAAAAAATGTCAGATTGAAGAATAAAGTGAACTAATTCGACTTTCTAATCATATTCTAACCATTTAGGTCTCTTCAAAGTCCCTGACAAAGCAATTTTGAGAAAGAAAAACAGAATTGGAAGCATTATACTTCCTAATTTCAAGCTGTATTATAAAGTTATAGTAATCAAAAAGAGTATGATATTGGCATAAAAACAGGCACCTAGACCAATGGAACAGAACAGAGAAACAAGAAATGAACCCAAGCATATGTTTTGATATGGGCACCTGAATACACAAAGGGGAAAAGGCAATTTCTTCAACAAATGGTGCTGGAGAAGCTGGATATCCACATACAAAAAGATGAAATTGGACTCATCTTGCATCACACAAAAATTCAGCTCAAAATGGATTAAAGACTTAAGCATAAAACCTGAATCCATAAAAATCCTCGAATACAACATAGGGAAAAGCTCTTTCACATTGGCTTTGGCAGTAAATTTTTGGACATGATAACAAAAGCACAGGAAAGTATATCAAAAAAGCTTCACTACAGCAAAGGAAACCATTAACAAAATAAAAAGGCAATGTATGGAATAGGAGAAAGTATTTGAAAACCATGTATCAGATAAAGAGTTAATATCAGATAAAGAGTTAATATCCACAATATATACAGGGAACTCACACAACTCAAGCAAAACAACAAGCCACCCCAATTTAAAAACTGACAAATGACCTGAAGTGACATTTTTCCAAAGAAGACATACAAATGGCCAATAGTATTTGAAAAGATGTTCAATATCACTAATCATCCAGAAAACGCAAATCAAAATCACAATGAGATTTTACTTCAACATCTGTTAGGATGGGTATTATTACAAAGGCAAGAGAAACACACATGGCTAGGATGTGGAGAAAGGGAACTTTTGTACATTGTTGGTGAAAATGTAAATTGGTACAGCCACTACAGAAAACAATATGGAGGTACCTCAAAAAATGAAAAGCAGAACTACCATATGATCCAGCAATCCCCCTTTGGATACATATCCAAAGGAAGTGAAATGAGTACCTCAAATAAGTATCTGTGTTCCCATGTTCACTGCAGCATTGTTCACAATAGCCAAGATATGAAAACAACCTAAATGTCCATCAACAGATGAATAAAGATGTCACACACACACACACACACACACATACACACACACACAGCTTCGTAGGAAGCTGCTACCCCTCCCCCACTCCTCCTTTCCCTTTAAGGACAGGGCTGAGCTGCTTACTCAGGGACACTGCCTGGTTTCCCTGGCTTCCCTGCACCACCAATACCTCACTGCCCCACATTTACCAGGGCTGCAGCACATATAACCAAGAGGGAAGCTGAAGTCCCCACCTTTCCCCTCTGCTTCCAACTGTCAGCAGGCCATGTGGGCCTGGGTCACAGGAGGCTGTCAAACTGATGGGCATCTGGGCTCTGACTTGTGAAGCTGCTTCTTAACATCAAGAGGTTCTGGGCCAGGGCCTGAGAGCAGTGGTGGTAGAAAGGGCAAGAGAGCCACTTTTTTTGTGTGTGGATAATTTATTGTCACATTAACTAACATATAGTGTATACAGTGTAGTCTTGGCTTCAGGAGTAGATTTCTGTGATTCATCACTTACATAACAAAACCCAGTGCTCATCCCAACAAGTGCCCTCCTCAATGCCCATCACCCATTTCTCCCACCCCCCAATCCCTCACCTCCATCAACCCTCAGTTTGTTCTCTGTATCTAAGAGTCTATTAAGGTATCAAAAATCTATAAAGAACTTACCAAACTTAACACCTGAAAAACAAATAATCCAGTGAAGAAACGGGTAGAAGACATGAATAGACACTTCTCCAAAGAAGATATCCAGATGGCCAACCAACACATGAAAAAAGGTACAACATGACTCATCATCAGGGAAATACAAGTCAAAACCACAATGAGATACCACCTCACACTGGTCAGAGTGGCTAAAATTAACAACTCAGGAAACAACAGATGTTGGAGATGATGTAGAGAAAGTAGAATCCTCTTGCACTGTTGGTGAGAATACAAACTGGTGCAGCCACTCTGGAAAACAGCGTAGAGGTTCCTCAAAAAATTAAAACTAGAATTATCCTATGACCCAGCAATAGCACTACTAGGAATTTATCCAAGGGATACAGGAGTGCTGATTCGTAGGGACACATGCACCCCAATATTTATAGCAGTGCTATCAACAATAGCCAAGTTAAGGAAAGAGCCCAAATGTCTATCAACTGATGAATGGATAAAGAAGATGTGGCGTGTGTGTGTGTGTGTGTGTGTGTGTGTGTGTGTGTATGTGTCTCTCTATATACAGAGACACATACATGTATACATATAATGGAATATTATTTGGCAATGAAAAAGAATTAAATCTTGCCATTTGCAACAACATGGATGGAACCGGAGGGTATTATGCTAAGTGAAATAAGCCAGTCGGAAAAAGACAGATATCATGTTTTTACTCATATGTGGAATTCGAGAAACTTAACAGAAGACCATAGGGGAAGGGAAGAAAAAATACATTACAGAGAGGGAGGTAAACCATAAGAGACTCTTAAATACAGAGAGCCATTTTTGTTTTCAAAGCTTCACTACAACTACAGACTTGAAAATAATGTGGCAGGACAACTGACTGGAACATGAAGATATTTTCTCTTCCTCCCATATCAAACAGTCAGGCTCATCTTAGTGATTTCCTGCCTAAGGGGTTTTTGCAGAAGCTGCATGAGGTTAGCAGGATTTCCGGTCTTTGGCAACACCAAAGTCAGTGCAGAGGTGATGCCAGGTGTCTTGGTAGGGATGGCGAGAGAGCAGGAGGCCTCCAAGAAAAGTCAGGGAAAATAAATATTCTCCCAGACAGATGTCAGCAGGGCCATCTGTGGCTGCTTCCGGGGGAGGTTATAAGGCTGCAGAAAGGATGGCTACCTGAAGCATGTATGGGCCAGGTGAGACTCCCGACTTGACAGTTTCCAGGTACCTGCTGAGGGTAGGGGAACAGCACAGCTCCTGACTTGAAGGGGTCATGATGCCAGTGAGGAGATGGGTGTCCCAACAGTAACTGTGTAGGCAAATAACTAGTGACCACAGGCTCAGGCTCTACCCGGTCCTTTGGTGGATGTATAAGACCGCAGGGTCTTTGCACAGCCCTGGAGAGGGGAAGGCCTGATAAATACTGAGTTTGAATCCCCTACCAGTTTAGCGAAATGGGGGCAGACTGTGACACAGTTGATCAGAAGAAAAATGTAATAATGCATTTGGGTTTGTCATATGAATGGAGATTTGAACCTCCCATAGTCTACTTAAGGTTGCAGATGTTGACAAAGGAATAGATATTTACTTTTTTGCTCCCTCTCATCAAACCTGCATTCTGCCCACTCCTCCAAACTCCATGTCTATTTCCTTCTGGTGTCATTTGAAAACTTCTAGTTAAAGTGTATATGAAGGGGGGAAAAAAAAGAAAAAAGAAAAGAGGAGAGAATGAAGTCAGAGAAAGTAGAATGTGTGTGGAACATTCTGGAAAAGTTTTTATCTACACATGAGAAATGGAATGAAGAGAAGGTTCTCCCCCAAACAGTTAGAACATAGTTACCTCAAACCTGACATAGAATAAAGGTCAGAAACTAATAAACAAATAGAGTATCTGGCACTATGTTTCCCTTCAGGAAGTTCTAACTACTGATTTTTACCTGAGAGGCACTGCTGAGAAGAAACTCGTCTATTAATTGGCTTATGAGGATAGACACCCAGATAAAGAGGCTTCAGTTGCTGTGACAAAATCATTTCATTCAGTTTTTTCTGCAGAATGAAATATTCTTCAGATAACTTTGATATCTAAAAAGAAGGTCATGTGTCAGATTAAATCAAGGAAAAGAATTCAGAGGGCTGCACATGTACACCAGGATCTGGTAAATTCCTGATTGACTGTCCCTGGGACTCTCACGCACTTCTCCAGAACCTACCTTGAACCATGTCTGAAAACCCAAGGTCCGAAAAAGTCCTCACTTGACCAAGCCTCCTCCTTGGTGCAACTTGCGCATCTCACATTTTCCATTTACAAACTGCCAAACGTGTCATGCTACATGAGGCATTCTGTCCTGATCACTTCTCCCTGGGGTCCCTGAGATCTGGCTTCTGTCTGTACCATTCTGTAGCAATTGCCTTTCTGCTTTTAGCCCACAGAAGCCTTTGGTTGCCTTTGGTTGTGTTAACCCCCTCCTTTCCTTTCCGGTGTTCTTAGCCTCAAGTCAGGGCTCCTCTCTTTCCATCCAGCTCCTCTGCCTCTCTCTGGTCTGCATCCTGACCCTGTGGACATCGCTGTACTGCTGGGCTGTATGTGGAGCTCCTGCTTTTCCACCTCTAGCTTTGTCCCCCTGGAGTGCTGAATCTACTTCCACGGCATTATTATCCAGCTCTATGGAGATGATTTAGTAATTCTGCATCTCCTCAATGTCCCTCATGCGTAGCAGGTCAGGTTTCCAATCCCCAGTTTGGTCTTTAGAGTAAGCAAATGTATGCACCAAGGAAAGGAAGGACTGCGTGCATATTAAACTCTCTTTGTCCATGTGCTTTAAAAAAAAAAAAAAAAAAAAAAAAAAAGAACAGGAAAGGGCTGGCAGATCTCTACTAAAAGCTACAAGTTGGAGATGTTTAGGCCACACCTATAACATGAAAGTGGTGCCCAAGAGTGGCTACTTTGCTTTTGCATGGACTCAGTCACTGTCAGAGACAAAGAGCAGAGTTTGGGGACCCAAAAGTATTAGGCAATCCCTCTTTGAACTAACCCGTAATGATATTTCTTCAATGACTGTATATATTATTGATTACCCTGGTGATGCATATTAACTTACAATATGCATTTGAGAGAGGTCATCTAGTTAAAATCCTTCACTTTACATAAGAGAAAAATAAAGGTGATTTTCTTAAGGTCACACATAAAGTGATTCTCTTAAGATCAAACACCTACAGAGAAGGCAAGACCTGGGATTGGCATTTCCAGCAGCAGCTCCCTGTGGTCTCTCCCTCCATAATACTAAGTAATCAGTGTTCCATGCACACCCATGAGAAGCGCTAAAGCCAACTGCCCCCTTCTAGAAACAGCCAAAACATGCCTACTCTTGGCACACGATATACTCCAAGAGGGAATTGTTCTTTGCGGTTTCTTATTGTCACGATGTAACATGTAGATTTCTACCTTCATTGCATGTATGCCTGAGTAGGGCTACATGCCTAATTTTGACACCTCATTATGTCTTCTTAAAATCTGGGGCAGAAAAAGCATAGATTTTAGAGGATTTATAACACTTTTTTTCTGTTTCTTTTTCTTTTAAACTCTAGTGAAAGATCTCAGAGAAGGAAATCTGCATTGTCCAATGTCAACATTTTAGTAAGCTGCATAAACCAATGACTAGTCTCTTGACTACAGAAGGTTTCCATCGTATTTTATACTACTTCTAACAGCACATCGTCTTAAAAATTTATGGCTATTTGAATAGCAAAACCTTTGAGACATTCATTAAAGAGGGTTGCAGCCTCATAAAAAGAGATGAAACAATTATTAATAATTATTAATTAATAGTACATTTACTTCAGTTACTGTGTAGTTCCCAGAGATTTCTACTAGTAAATAAATCCGTTTGTTTACATACCTGTTTTGAAAAGATTGCCAAATCACATGCTTGGTTCTCTAAAACTGCCTTTGAGTCTCTATCATTCTTTGTCCTGATATTACAGGATTCCTCATGTTTTCTGGGATAGGAGTACAAATCATGGGTATTTGTTGCTACTTCTGTTGGTTTTGAAACAACCTTTTGACTTTGAAAAGAAGACATCCTGTCCTTCTGTAATTGCTGCTTTCTCTTGTAGCCCCGGTATGTGCTCTGAATGAACACTGCCGCTCTATCTTCCTCCTGGGCGTGAATGCTGGCTTGGGCTGGCCTCTCTCTGACCGACCCAGGCGTCAAATGGCTTCTCTGATGGCTGCACACTGGTGCACTCTGGGTAACTACAGATGTCTTCTTTTCTTTTTCCTTGCTATCTCCATTTTGATGAACCGACCTTTGGCTAAGACTGGGTTCCAAACTTTTTGTTAAAGAAGGTTGCTTTGTCTCATTCTCCACCACCCAAAGTCCTGGGTAGCTTGGCCTTTCCGAGATGGCCTTCCTTTCTAGATATGCTACTTTTGATTCTTCAAAATTCCTTTCTTCTGCATACCTCTGATAGTAATTCTGGAGCACAGTGTTCTCCTCCACTCTCCTTACCTTACTATTCTCTTCCAGGTCTTTCGCGTATTTCTTCTTAGGCTGTCCTTCTGTCCAAGGGTCCCCCACCAGATACACTTCCTGCTTAGCCTCTTCTCCGTACATGTTATTCATTTTTTTCTGAGTTTGATGTCCTCTGTTGTTACTTTCAACAGCAATCATGGCTTCCCCTTCAACTCTGAAAGTAGAAGTCTTCACTGCAGATGTACTTCCTTTATTATTTGGAGCTGGAATGACTGTTTCGTTAGTAGGGACCACATTTTCTGTCTGTTTCTTCACAAAAGATTCCCTGTGTAAAACATACTGCATCTGAATATACGATATTAAACTGGACCTTATTTACCTGTAGAGTGTTGGGAGAACAGTAACAGGGGCAAAAAAACAAAAACAAAAACAAAAACCCAAAAACCAAAAAACAAAAAAACTTCCAAATAAAAACTTCTCAAGTCACGTTAATCAAATGTTTCCCACATGTTCTCTCTAGCAACAACTGTGGTAGCTGCTCTAATAATGACGAAACCAGTTTCAATTTAGAATGAGAACTATCCTAGCATATTTTCACTTAATGAGGCATCAAAACCCTAGGAATTTAATCACTTCAAAACATGTCTTTTTCTAAAGAAAGTACCTACGGTGAGGAGAGGTTGTGGAAAATATATCAAAATTTGAGACTAGTAAGCAGGGTATGTTCACTAGGCTAATGTGCTGTATTTAATAAGCTCCCTCGAGCTCTGGTGATCACAGTAAATATGTTACAAAATTAAAGGGAAGCAGTGTCCTTGCTACGGTTCATGATCATATAATATGTTGACCAAAATTTCACAGTTGTTACTTTACCAATATCCTCCCAAAATGATTTTCCTTAAAGATAACATTTTCTCTAGTTTTTTTTTTTTTTTAAGCCACATAAGCTTCTTTTTCACTTTTTTTTTTCTTTTGGTGAGGACAAAACCCTCACAAGAGCAATATGGCCATGAAAAGTGTGTTACAGTACAGTGAAAAAGTCATGACCTGATACCCTGACATGCTACTTGGGGAGTTTTCAAAACTTTCCATTTTGGCTTAGGAAATCCATGGGAAATTTTTGGTCCTTTGCAATATGTTCATACAGAAGGATTTGTCTTGGAGTCGGACTTGGAAAAAGTTACTGGAATTCAATTTATCTAATTCCACTGGCCACTTCCTAGGCCTATAACAGCATCTTCAGGTTTATACAGGAGGCATAATAGAATCTCTGTTATTTTGCCAGGGACCAGAGAAGGAGGCAGGATACCAAGAACCCATCATTTTAAGGAATGGCTATGCTAGTATTTTGAATACCTTCATAACACCTCCAGAGAATGCCTATACTAATCAAAGTATAATTAATGAGAAAAAGATAAGCAAACTACCACAGAGCTATAGTAATCAAAACAGAGTGGAATCGGCATAAAAACAAACTCACAGATCAATGGAACAGAATAGAGAGCCCAAAATAAACACACACATTTATGGCCAATTAATTCAGGACAGGAGAACCAAGAATATACAATGGGGGTGGAATAGTCTCTTCAATAAATGGTTTTGGGAAAATTAGACACATGCAAAATAATTAAACCGGATTCCTATCTTACACTATATACAAAAATCAACTCAAAATGAATTTAAAGACTTGGACATAAGACCTGAAATCATAAAACTCTGAGGAGAAAATATAGGTGGCAAGCTCCTTGACTTTGGTTTGGCAATATTTTTGTTTTTGTTTTTTTGTTTTTTGGATTTGATACTGAAAGCAAAAGCAACAAAAGCAAAAATAAACTAGTGCGACTACATAAAATGAAAAAGCTTCTGTACAGCAAAAGAAACCATCAATAAAATGAAAAGGCAACCTATGCAATGGGAGAAAATATTTGCAACCCACAGATGTGACAAAGGGTTAATATCCAAAAATATATGAAGAACTCATACTACTTAATAGCAAAACAATGAACAACCTGACTTAAAAATGGGCAGAGGATGTGAACAAGCATTTTTAAAGGAGATGAAAAAATGACTAACAGGTACATGAAAAGGGCCTCAACATTTGGAAATGCAAATCCAAACCATGATGAGGTATCACTTCACACCTGTTAGAATGGCTATCATCACAAAAGACAAGAGAAAACAAGCATTGGTGAAGATGTGAAGAAAAGAGAATCCTTATGTACTGAGAATGCTGTGTTGGTGGGAATGTAAATTGCTGCCAGTTTGGAAAATGATATGGAGGTTCCTCAAAAAACTAAAAATAGCACTACCATACGATCCAGCAATCCTACTTCTGGTTGTACATCCCCCTCCCCCCCCAATCAAAAAACAAAGCAACGATCTCAAAGAGCTATCTGCACTTCAGTGTTCATTGCAGTATCATTCACAACAGTCAAGACACAGATATAACCTAAGTGACCATTAAAGGATGAATGGATAAAGAAGATATGGTATACATATTCAATGGAGTATCATTCAGCCACAAGAGAGAAGAAATCCTGCCATTTCTGACAGCATGGACGCAAGAAATCAGACCGAGGAAAACAAATACTGCATAGTATCACTTATGTGTGGAATCTGAAAAAGAAAAGAAAAAGTCAAACCCACACAAACGGACAGTTGTAGTTTTGAGGGGGAGGTAGAAGAAATAGGAGGGAGACGCTGGAAAAAGGATACAGCCTTCCAGCCATTAGAGGAATAGGTAGGTCTGAGGATCTCATATAAAACATGGGACTACACATGGTTTTGTATAACTGAATTTTGCTAAAGGAGTAGAATTTCAATGTTCTCACCAAAAAAGCACAAAAAGGAACTATGTAAGGTGATGGACGTGGTAATGAATTAGATGGGGGAATCTTTCCACAATGCAGATGCATATCAGATCATCATGATGCACACTTCAAATATCTTATAATTTTGTATGTTAATTACACATCAATAAAACTTAAGTTTTTAAAAACATGAATAAGTTCTTGGGATCTAATATACAGCATGGTGATTGTTAACAGTACTGTATTATAGACTCAAGAGTTGCTAAGACAGGTGTTCTTAAATGTTGTCACCACACACATACACACACAGAGTTGTAATTATTGAGGTGATAAATGTGTTAACTAACTTCACTGTGGTAATTATTTCACAATATATATGTATACCAAATCCTCATGTTGTACACCTGAAAGTGACACAGTGTTATAGGTCAACTGAATCCCAATAGATTTAAAAAAAGGACAAGCGTCCTGGGATTGGGGCTGGAATGATCTTCATTTCCCTGGAGACCACTCTTTCTTCTTTCGATCAATTCAAGCTTTACCACTGAGGCAAAATCTATATACTTTCTCTTCCCCTAATCCCTACCAAGATCTTCCATGCCCTACTGCACAATTTGCATATTTTTATAGCAGAGTTAACTTGTGTTATTAAAATCACATATTTATTGGTTATATTTCCTTCCCATGTTTCTATGGGTAATTTGAGGATCAGGATTTTGTCTCATCTATCTACATGTCTTCACAGCTTACCATACAGCTTTATGTATAAATGCATTCAGGTGGATCTGCTAATAAGCACTTAGAAATATAGATATGGAGGCTCGAGAGAAGAAAGGGCAAAGTGTCATTCATGCTTTGAAGATTGGATTCTGGCTTAGGAGTTACAGTATACTGATTATTAACACCATGGGAATGAATGAGAAAACCCAGAGATGATACTCAGATGTGGAGGAGGATTTAAATATGGGGACGGGAGGAGGAATTAGCCCAGGATACTCAGAATTAGGAGCAGAAATGCAGAGTGCAATCCAGCAGAAGCCTAGGAAGAAAAAAAACTATGGAAGGAAAGTGTGGTCATCAGTGTGAAATGCCAGTGAACTCCCAAATAGGATAAAGAACACAAGAGTGGCCACTGGGTGTTCACTGACATTTAATAAACTGGTATTAGGAGCCTGATTAGGTACAAGAAAGACTGTGAACTTTATTTTGACTTTACAGATTTGAAAAATGTGTAATGTCAAAATGGTATAAAAATGAACATCAATATACCTTTTATTTTCAAAGTTTTTCTTGTAGTCAAATTGCTGATCATGAGTCTGAATAGTTGTTACTGCTGTGTTTTTTGTGTTAACAATTTCTTTCCTTTGTTTCCTGACTAGATGTCCTCTTGCAGCTGAAACATACAAGGTCCAGAGTAGCATTAATCAGAATAAAGAAAAAGCCATTACTTAAGTGAATAGAAAAAAATTTTTTTTGACAATGTCAGGAAAATGAAATTAAAGAGCCCAAATAGGACAGGTTCATAAAAAATATTGTTCATTAACAAGATTCTTCTATAGCAAGAAAATAATTAAAGTTCCTTTTGCATTAAGGACAGTACTGGGATGAAACTAAAATGAAAGAGATTAGCTAAGTTGTTGAAAAAGACAAACTGTATTCATTTGCTTAAATCTGCTAATAATTACGTCAGCTATTTACAGGAGAAAACCCCTATTATTTAAGAATATGTTTTGGACTTTTTGGCCAATTATCCTTGGAACCAGATAGATTTCAGAATTCAGCTTTAAAGTTTTTTATTTTATAAAGGTAATTCAGAGCAAATAACATATATCCTATAACATTCCCCATGTCAGGGCAGCATTCCATAATCAAAAATACAAATATTTCTCCAGAAAACCAATATTTTTACTAGGAGTGATGAAGGACTATAAATATTAGGTCATGTTTCACTGCCAGATGAGTTGTGAAAAACCGTTTCTTCAGTGTTTTATAAATTGTGAAACTGTGGATAAAGAATCTGATCCCAAATTTTAGGGATTTGCATTTTGATGCTGCAGGGAGAAGTTAAGGGCTTTAAAATCCCTGAAGAGATGAGCCCTTACGATTTGACAGACCCGAGACTGGAACAGGAATCTCTCAAATGTTAGTCAGCTATTCTGTCCACCATGTCAGTGCTCCTCAGAAGGCAGGCTGCAGATCATAGTGGATCATAAAATGGATTAGTGGGCCAAATCTAGCATCTAAAAATGAAGTGGAATAAGCCAGAACAGAAAATATCAGAGTGCATTGCATGTAGTATGTGTGCATACCAGGTTACACGGGAGAATACAGTTTTTACTATGGAAGTCCACTCAACACGTTGTGGAAGATGCTTTACTGAACCATACCAGGTTCTAAATTTAGTTTCTTATTGAAAAATGGAAAGTGAAATCTAAAGTCTATTGATACATTTTAATAAAAATGTGTAAAGTATTATTATAAATATTATTTACCTACAGTCAATAGAAAGAAACGGATGCCCTTTAACATAATGAGATTTAATCAAGTGGTCAAACATTGTGGCAAGTGTAACCTTTGGAATAAAGTAGGAGAAGTGTTATTGTCCAATGGATTATAATAATATGATTCCTGAGATCTGTAACTAATTTAATCACTTGTATCTTGCACAAGAGGTCAATCGTATTTCATTGATGCTTGACAGAAAATTTAAAAATTAAATTATTTTATTTAAAACAAAACATTCAAATATTAAAAGTGTCAATCACTAAAGCAATCAGATTTAGATTTAGTATAGACAAAGCATCAACGTAACCGAGTCTGGAATTAAATACAAAAGCTACATAAGAATGGGGGTTTGAATATAAGATTAGATGTCCATATCTGAACATAACGTTAAGTTTTGTTACACGGTGAGACCATCTGAGTGATTACCTGACTGTATTATTATAGCACTCTCTTTTCTTTTCTCCTGTATTTTTTGGTACCTCCTTGAATCCAAGAATCCTCTGACACAGGCTTGAATCAAAATAAGCTTGTCAATGGCTTCCTTTCGCATTAAATTTAACTGTTCCACATGATAATATTTAAGGAACACCTTAAAAGAGTGAAAATAAAATACAGATAAAACTAGGGCACACCAATGCGAAATAGTCATACGCTATGAAGAACAGATTATATTCTAAATATTTTTCAGATTTTGGAAATCACTATCTTCTGCTTGTTTGGCCTGGATTTTGCTACATTTTACATTTTTATTCTTGAAGAAAACCTCTCTTTGAGAACAAATATTGTTTAGCAATCATTCTGTTATTTGCAGCCAGTTAACTAGGTTTTGTTGACTGGGCCAATAAGAATGGAGGATGGTCAGCTCTTGTATCAAAGTTTTAGCAACATCTACTGTAAGATAGAGGACACTTACAGCTATAGCAATTCACTCATCAAATGTTTATTGACACCTGCTGTATGTACTCATCTGCTGAGGATACAAAGGTAAATAAGGCAGGGCACCGTCCTTCAGGGCCTCTCATGTTGTCAGTGGAGGGACTGAGGCAGAGAGATGGCCCCAGACAGAACAACATTCCTGCTAGACTCAGTGGCCCCCACGGAGAAAGGAGGACTGACTTTCGATCATTCTAAAATCGAAATGAATTGAAGAAACGGAGGGGCCTGCAGGCCTGGAGTTATTCTCATTTAAGAGTTTTCAACCTCCGCCAGGAAATAGGAAGATGTTTTTTTTCTTTTCATGGATACATTTACTAATAAAAGTCACCTAAAAGAAAGTTTATTGAATCCACCAAGAAAGTCACTTAAATTCAAATTTAACAGCTGAGTCATAAGAACTGGTAACACTGAAAGTAGAACCCTCTTTGCAGCTCCATGACTTGAAAGCTTGGCACCACAGGCAGGTTAGCATTACAGGGTTTGACGGAATTTAGTTTTAATTTCTATGGGACTCTGGACGCTAATTTATTTAATCCATTCTACTGTTGACAATTCATTTAAAATTCAGTCTGTTCAAAAAGGTCATCTTTTTTATTACTTTTTTTTTTTTTGTGCAGCATTAGAAATGTTTCTGTATTGAATACTTTTATTCATCTTAATGAGTTGGAAAAGGTGAAGTGGAAAAATACAAACAGCCTTAAAATGCTACTTAAATACCATGTAGGACTGGAACTGCAAAAGGCCCTTTTTACGAGTTAAAACTCCATTTGAAGTTAGGCATGTGTTTCAGACCATAAATCGTGAGATTTCAGCCTGACAAAATTCATCTTTGTGATCATCTAAAAGAAAATGGTATAAATAAGACACACATCTTTTTTAGTGCTCAGAATTTCGCCTTGCTAACTACTGAAGTAAATATGGGTTACTGAATATGTAAGACACTCGGTCTAAGATAAATATTTTTTAAAATCCCTTAAATTGTTAAGGAGTAGCTTCTTTTGTAAACATGAAAATTCTCTCCCATATCTTCCACCCCTAGAGACGACTAATGTGGACGTTTGTTTCAGTCAATATGGCCGACAGTGGTTATTCTTGAAGGGTCAGTCTCTGAGGACTTTTCTTTAGATTGACTCTTTTCTCAATCCTCCCCCCAATGATATATTCAGTGTACCCCTAAGGCCTGGTACCCTCTTTATTTCCTTATCCCCATTTTGTAATGCTTTGAGGCTATCTGAGGAGCCTAATGCATCCTTTCTCCAAGCAGCCACCTATCTTACTTCCATACGCAAAATCTGTTATGATTTTTTTTCTTCATTCTCTAAGTGATTAAATAAGCTAAAATCTCTCCGGTCTCAAGTCTAATACATAAACACAGTGATAGCCAAACACTTACAGCAAGTCTACTAACAATGGTGAATATTTTGCTCCAGATAAATTTGAAGTTTATAACAGAAGCAGATTTGAGAATTAGGAAAAAAATATTAGGATCCTGTTCAGATCATTATGATTTTCTACAGAATATATTCTGTATATATTATATGATATTAATATATATTAACACATTCTGAATATTTATAGACTATATTTGTGGTGATAAAAAAGAGAATATATCTCAGTATGTTTCTAATACTACTTGAAATGAAATGTACTCACTCTAAATTTCATCTTTTTTTTTTTGGATAAATCTTCAAGAGAAACTTTTCTTGAATTTCTTAAAAGAAACCTTTATGACAACAAAGTGTTTAATTCTGCTGAAGAAGAAAACCTTTATGAATTTGTCAACTTAATTCCCTAGTTTAAGCTAGAGCTTCTGTAACATAAAAAAGCTGTAATATTTTCAAGCACTGGAAAATGTTATAATTTTCAGTAAATCCAACACATTTACAATTATTATTTGTCCTTGAAAATTACATGCAAACATTACTTTTGTTTTTCCAAGAGCCCAGTTATCCAGACCAGCTTTTTCCAAAATGGTGGCACAGGTGTCAGGGCTCACTGGGGGTTCTTCATTCCACTTGTAGCAGAGAACATGGTACCTTCGAGTGGGAGAAAGTGCTGGTTAGTATTTCATAAAGTTTCCATGCCTCAGTAGCCTGGTGGATACTTGACAGTTCTGTGCAGGGAAGAAAGAGATTCCCAGACTCAATGCACAGGACCCTTCTCAGAACCCTAAAGTAGACTGACACAAATCCAGACCAATTCGTTTGTATAGATTTGAGCATTGTTTTCTCAGTTTAGTGATTACTTTTCAACACTGATCACTGAAATCTCCCACAAAAACTCCATCACTAAAAAAGAAAAAAAAAAGTTAGTGGGGTATTTTAAGAGGAGCAGCATTTTTCTGGGTGCTAAAAGCAGAAGGATTGCAGTGGCAAGAAGCAGAGGGAAATATTTCATTTTTTCACCTTCACAAACACATTGGAAGCTGATCTTAAAATTGGATGAAGGAGTTTAATTCTCTGCAAACTTCCTACTACTGTGTACACACCATCGAGCACTGTCCTTTGAGGTATACTTTGCGTCCCACTGGAGGTTTTCTCTATTGGTTTAATACATCAGTAATTGAGGGGAAGAAGTGAGTTAAGGGGTTAATGCAGGAGAGAACTGAAACAGGCCACCAGGTGAATTACAGAAAGAAAAACCAGTTGACCATGGTCAACAATCTTGTGCGGTTTTCTAGGGTTTCCAACACGCCCTTATTTAATTTCTTGGTGCAGGATTAACCTGCTGATCCAGAGGAAACAAAGCATCAAGTTTTGGTAGGTTTTGAATTTCAAGACAGAGGCCATGTGTGTGGAAGAGTGAGGTGGCATGGTCAGGAGAGCTGAGTTCTGATCCTAGAGACTAATTACCCGTGTAAACATGGACACATCACGGAACCTCTGTAAATGTCAATTTCTTCATCTAAAAATGAGCCTGTAGATAAAACCTCTAAAAAGAACACATTCCAGCTCCACCAAGTTTCATCCTTGATAAACATGCAGATGAACTCTTTTCTGTTAGGCTCTTTGGAAAATCCTGGCCTAGAATGGTCTAGAAAGAAGTGATGGTCATAGCTTTTGTCATCTGTGCAAATAACCTCAGGGAGTGCCCATTAACGTCCCCTCATCCTTTAGGCCTGCCAACTTGAGGACTAAACTTGCTTGTGGACACGTTGTGACTGAGGAGCTACTCTACCCTTGCAGCCCACCAACTATCTCCTGGTTTTACTTCTTTCCAGATCCAGCCAGGATCTCGTGGCTCATCATATGAGCAACCCTTCTTCTCATGCTCCCTCTCTTGGTCTTTTGTCGCACATGGTCTGCAAACATCCAAACCTGGACCAGCCAATCATTGTTCTCTGCCCTCCTGTCAGGCCTTGGAGATCTGCCAGAGAAAAATCATTCACAGCACGCTCCCCTATGACCTTGTGGCTTCCTGAGTCAGCCGAGTCCACAAGGACACCAAGAATCCTGATTGGTGTCCACAACTACTTTCCTCACTCAATCCTCACAACTGTTTCATCTCTCCTGTCCTGTTCAAATCTCCCACCTGCCCCTGCCCTCCGCGCTGCTCTCAGCAGATAAATGTGTCTTCTATTTTACCAGAGGCCACCAGATGCAAGCTCTACTGGCTTCCTCCTCAGCTACAGATCGGTTTGTCCATTATCGATTCTTCCCTTCTCCTTCAGAGGAGATATCCACTCTCCAACTGCCTGTGCTCTAGAGGTCATCTCTTCCTCCTCTCCTTTTTCAAGCCCTTTTCTCTCTTCTGGTGCCTTCCATTTAGTTCAAGACAAACCCTCTAAGTATGTCTCACCTGAAACGATTCTCTGTAGCCCACCCGCTTCACAGAGAAGTTGAAAGATTGCTTAAAATAATCGTCTCCATTTCTGTACTTCCCATTAATCAGCAGCTCCTGGAATCTGATTTAATCACATAGTAATAAGGACTCTTATTTAATCACATAAAGATCTTTTAGTGATGAACTCTAAAGGGATGTCTTCTATCATAATCCTAAGTGTTCTTTTCTGCATTTGCTATTGTTGACCCTTTTCTCTGTCTTGAGTATCCCCACGTTTGCATCCCACCTTGCCTCCCTGCTTCTCCCCATCCCCCCATCAGTCTCCCTGACATGCCTCATATTTAGACGTTCTGCTCCAATGCAAGTGTTCTCCAATGTCCCATTTCTTTCTGAGCTCTCTCCACAGGGGTCTCATCTACATGCGGAATGGATGATTCCTAAATCTTCATCTGTGGCCCTCTTTACACAAACTCTGAACACATCACTTTCTGACTGTCTGCTTCGCTCCCCCACCTGGTTATCTCACAGACACTCCAATTCATCACCTTGCCTTTCCTCTGCTAGTTCCTACCTCTGAGAATGATGTCACTATTTTTTTCAAAGGTGATAAAAATCTGTGTGTCATCCTAGATTCTTCCCTATTCTCCACTCAGTGTATCCAACAAGCTTAAGAATCTCTCTGAAATCCATTTCTTTCTCTCTATTCCTACAGGCATTGCCTTGAACTTACTTATCATCACTTCTCAACTTGACTTCCATAATTGCCTTCCAACTGGTTATGTCTGTTCTCACTCCCCCTCCCCCAGATCTGTCTGAATTGTCTTAATAAGATGAAAATCTGATCAGGTCCTTTCCCGACTTGGAAGGCTCTGAGAAAACCCAAGCTCTAAGCCATGATGGCAAAAACAGGTGCTTTCTCAAAGGCCAGGTACATAACATAGGTAAGTTGGAGAGCAGTGGAAATGTAGGAAATGCAAAGGTCACACCTGCCAAAAAGCAGTCATTTAAAATTAGGTGACATGTATGAAGACCAGCATGAGAGCTCCCTCCCTCCTCTGTATCCCTGCCTGCCTTCCCAGTCTTACCTTCTGCTATTTTCCATGGACAGCCTGAGCTCTGGTAATAAAAATTATTTAAAATTATGCCAGAAGGCCAGGTTTGCTCATGCCTCTATGCCTTTGTATGAGACTTCCAAGTCGGGAAAGAACATGATCAGATTTTCATCTTATCAAGTGTTGTGTTATTTGTATGTGTTATTCTCTCTGTCTGTATGTCCTTGATCCTCCCTGCTCATTCCTTTAAGGAAGATCGACTCTTCCAATATTCTAGAAACTTTTTCTCACGCATCTTCAATGAAGAGACTAACTGGGCTAACTGACATTCTCCTCCCCTGTGTTAGCTGCACTGACTGCTGTCCACACGCACCCGGAGCTCGTGGATGCTAGTTCTCAGGGGTGTCCCCATGGGCTCCTGCTCCTGCCGGGAGAGCTGTGTCTGCTGCCAGACCTGTGTCTGCCAGCTGCGCTTGAGGTGACAGGATTCAAAACCATATGACGCAAACTGATGAAATATGAGTGAGGAAAGCCAGAGAGTTGTTTCAATGCTTTGGTAAGACTTCAGAAAGAAGTGGTCTAAAGCTACTACAAAGGGTTGAGGAGAATCTTAAGAATCAAGAAATAGCCCTGTGATTGTTTCACAAGTTATCTTCAACTTCCTGCTTCACCTCAAGAAACATTAACTAGAAATCGCAAGTAAGGGATTATTGGTAACTCATGTAAGGAAGAGTCACTACGGGGTGCTTGGGTAGCTCGGTCGGTTAAGTGTCTGGCTCTCGATTTTGGCTCTGATCATGATCGCAGGGTTAGGAGATGGAGCTCCACATGGGGCTCGGCGCTGACAGCACGGAGCCTGCTTGGGATTCTCTCTTTCTCTGCCCCTCCTCTGCTTGTGTTCTTTCTCTCTCAAAATAAATAAATACACTAAAAAAAAAAAAAAGAGTCAATAAACTCCAATTCATGGAACTTTTATTCAAAGAAAAAAACTGAGCCTGTATCAAAAGGCTGAAAAACGAATAGATATTCATGTTCCAAGTTAAAATATGATATTTATAGTATATATTTATATATGACTTTTATGATTCTCGCTTTATCTGAATTTCTATTATAATCTAAGAAGTCTTCCCCTTTCCTCCTCACTTCTACCTTCTCTATGTCATGCTTTCAGAGTGCCCTGTGTATACTTTTATTAAAAATATCCACTACTCTTTCATTCGCTTCATAAATATTTACGGAGTGCCTACTATGTGCCAGGCACCTTTGTAAGTGCTGGGGATGGAGCGGTGAACACAGTACCCTTGTCCCTGGAGTTTACATTACATTGTATGATAACGTAATTAGGTCCTTGTTTCCACAGCTAGTCTGTGAGTTTGTTAACATCAGAAGCTCTTTCACTGTTCTTTGGATCTTTAATCTTTGGAATAAGATTTGGGTTAATCTTTTTTTCAAGGACTAGAACATAGTGGGTGCTTAATTAAATGTCTGCTGAAGGTCTAATGACCTGCCTCTGGGACTTGCTGTGGAAATAAACATGTAGGTAGACCAGTTGCACTGGGAAAGCCCCCAGACTCTTGCTTTGCTGCATCCCTTGTTTTAAAGACTTGCTTTAAAGGCAACATACTGGCTGCTGCTTTGTTTTTTATGGACTAGCTTCATGACTTATGCTGTGGGATTCAAGAACACGGCATTGTAGGTAATAAGCAATTTTGGGAGCTTGGGGCTGAGGCAACAATAATGAAAATAATATAGCTAATGCGTATTGATGACATTTGGGTCTATCAATAAACTTCACATATATTATTTAATTTAATGCTCATAGCCATATACAGAGTAGATACAATTGTCATCCCTATTTGCAGATAAGAAAGACTGAGGCTTAAAGCTTATAGAAGTTACTCAAAGTAACTTTGAACGAAGTCACACATTTAGATGTGACAGAATTGGGGTTTGAACTTGGGCTTTCTGATTTCAAAGCGTGTGTACTTACCTACTTCACTATACTACTGTCTTCAATACGTTCTGGTTGAATTAGAGTTCTGGTAGCCAAACCATTGTGTATAGGTGTCTGGTGGAAAAATGGAGCTCACTATGGTAGCTTCTTAGTATAAGAGTTCATTTGAAATAGCTACAGCAAAAACCCTGTGCAAAGTAATTCCGTATTGTGTCTCTTCTTGTAAGATTATTTCTTTGTCACAAAACAGAAGAGTTTATCTACAACGGAACAAAGAATCTGATGAATTTTGCATCATACAAGAAGGGTTGGTCAAAGGCTAAGACAGGACAGAGGAGAATTATGTAGTCCTATTTACACCTCCACAGGGCCTTTGCAAATTGTTCTGCCTCCTAAGAAGCTCCGCCAATTTAGATGAAAGCTTTCAAATTAGTGACAGAGAAAAGGTTTAGTCTTTTATTTCTGGGACTTCCTGTATTTAGAACAGCTATTCACATACTCTCTGTATACTGAGTTTTTTTTCCTTCCTCATTTATCATGCAGTAATTTGCTATTTTATATAGCATGGGACTTTGAAATACATTTATAAATTTAATCTCACTTCTGACCTGCCAAATAAGCGACTTTCAACTGTAATATTGTCAAAAAGTAGGTTTAGTCCTCCTTACTGTCCATATTATAAAACCATGGAGAACTGAAACGGTAAGTTCACTATGTCATTCAAGGCTCTCTGACAGAAGATAAGATGGGAAAACTGATCAGGTTAAAAATTATGTACAGAGACATAGTCCCTCTAGCTTTTGACATGCCAAACAGTACAGTGAGAAAGACCTTTCCTGTCTTTTCCACAAACTGTACCTACCATCAGATTCCAGTTTGAACCTTCTTTCCTAATATTCTCTCTTATCAGCCCTCCTGGACATAAATTTATCTCTTCTGACCTCTTGCACTGTGTATACCATTCACTTGGATCTTGGTACTTATTACCCTGCATTGCTTATTAACTTTCCATGCCTGTGACTTTGAAAATTTTAACTGGGAGTGTCAATTCTTGAGGTTTAAGACAGTTTTAAAATGTGGTGCCCTCTGCAATGCTTAGCACAGTACTTTGCACATAAAGAAAAGGTCACTGAAATTCCATGGTAGTTATAGTAATATTATATTAATATTGTTTATTTAATTAAAACATTTTTAATGTTTATTTATTATTTTTGAGAGACAGAGAGACAGAGCATGAACAGGGGAGGGGCAGAGAGAGAGAGAGAGAGGGAGAAACAGAATCCGAAGCAGGCTCCAGGCTCTGAGCTGTCAGCACAGAGCCTGACGCAGGGCTCGAACCGTGAGATTATGACCTGAGCTGAGGTCAGATGTTTAACTGACTGAGCCACTCAGGTGCCCCAAAATGTATTTCTTAAAAAACAAGCTAGGCAGTAATTACTTACTGAATTCCTGAATTCTTTCACTTGACCTTAGCCAAAAGACTGAGAAATGATACCTGAATTCTTTTAAACATTTTTTAAAAAATACCTTTCGTTTCTTTGCCAGTGGGTCAAAAGGGTGAGGGGAGGCAAAAACTACTACAGATTGCTGAAAAAATGAAAATTTGCAAAAATCATTAGGATTCTCACTTTATTTAGTAAGGGTCTTTTGGTTACCCCAAGTGAAAGAATGCTTGACACAAGGTAAGAAATTTTGTTTTGTTTTGTTTTGTTTTGGGGGGAGGGAGTTAGAAATTTTGTTTTGTTCTTAATCCTAATTTATACACTTTGAAAAAGGCCAGAGAATGTTAGGTTTTACCTGAAAATTGCTAGGTTTTACCTCAAATGCTAGGTTTTACCTGAAAATGGTAATACTGTTGAAAATTGAAACTTCAAATTTAATAGGTAATAGTAATCACAGAATTGATAAATATCAGAAACATGAGCATTTAAAATATTAAATATATAAGGAATATATTGAACCTCTATATCACTATAAATATATTACTTAATAAAATATATTTAATGTATAGCTTAATTCATTTTACATTAATCTCAAATATTAAAAAGGACCTCATACTTAATTGAGTCTTTATGTCTTCTAAATCACTGTTAGAGATAATGTCTCATTTGATCCTTATAACAATTCCACTAGGCAGTCTTGGCAGATTTATTAAATGAGGAAAATGGTTCTGAATAGGCCAGGTTTTCTTGATCTCGGCACTGTTAACATTTTAGGATGGATAATTATTTGCTGTGGGGGGCTCTGCTGTGGATGGTAGGATGCTTAACAGCATCTTTGGATTTTATGCACTAGATGCCAACAACAACCCTCAATCCCGCCAGTTGTGACAAACAAAATGTCTCCAGACATTGAAAATGTTCTTCGAAGAGCAAAATTTCTCCCTGTTGAGGATCACTGGTACAGCCCAATGGTCACCCAACCCAGAACCTCTAACTGCTCAGTACAGAAGCTTAGGCCTTTCAATCATACTGCCCATGACATTTATCCCATGTGACCACACAGGATCTCCCAGGTGACAACAGAAAACTCCCAGCCCCAGTTACCTTTTCTTTCAGTACAGCATCTTTTGCAAAAACAAAATGCCTCCCTCCTAGAACACCTAAGTCATTCTCTTCCCTATTTTGCTTCCTATAATTCTTCTGATGAATTTCTCTATAAACTGTACATGGAAACTTGAAAAGAATTCCACATACCGCTTTATAAAGTTAGCAAAAAGTATCCGATGTGAGTACCCCAGCCTTCGAATTCTTGCTGTTTCCAGAATTCCCGTGTAGCGAAGCTGTAGGAGAACTTTCTCTCTGTCGTATTTTCTTGCCTGACGGTCATTATTTGGTTTGATGCACCGGACAAAATGAGGTTGGCCCACCATCATTTTAGATAACAAATCCATCAGAGAATACTATAATATGGAACAAAAATAAATTTCCCAGTGTAGCATATAAAAATTTAGAAGGTTGCAGGTATTTCTTTTTCCTATAAGAAAAAACGCTGAAACCTGGATGTTATACATGTTCACATGAATTCACAGTCAATGGAGGAATATGCATATTAATGAAAATTTTATTTATAGCATATTTTTAAAAATCTGTATTTACTCAAAAATGTAGAGGCAATAACTTGGAACTTAGCCATTAAAAGGTTTCATGTACATTCTTAAAGCAACTTTAATGAATAGATAAAATTCCTTTTGGTATAGTTTGTTTGTTAGTAATTATATCCTCTTAGGGAAGCTTGCTGACATACAGTATTTAGGCATACAACTTAATTACCTCCTTTTACCATTAATTTCCTTATTCAACTCTTTCTTTATAGAAAGTATGAAAGTAAACCCATCAATGCCTATCAGAATCATCTCCTAGTTTAAAATAAAGAATGAGAGGGGTGCCTGGGTGGCTGAGTCGGTTGAGCGTCCAACTTTGGTTTGGGTTATAATCTCACGGTTTGTGGGTTTGAGGCCCACACTGGGCTCTGTGCTGACAGCTCGGAGCCTGGAGCCTGCTTCGGATTCTATGTCTCCCTCTCTCTCTGCCCCTCCCCTGTTCACACTCTGTCTCTCTCTCTCAAAAACAAATAAACATTAAAAACATTTTTAAATAAGGAATGAGAAGTTAAAGCAGTTTAATATATAGGACATAGGAGTTACAAAAATAAGCAAATTCATTTAAGTACTCTAATCTGCTCAAGTTCGATAATTTTCTTATTTATTTTAGAATTTTCAAAGTCACATAGATATGGAAATTGTGTTTTCAGCAATACCTTGTTACAATGGTAGCCAATTACTGGACAACTGAGCATAACATATCAGGATAATCATAGTTCAATTCAAAGTGGAATCTCAGACAGTGAGTATGCTAAAGCCAGCATTGCAATTTATTGGCAAGGTAATGAATGTATGAACACAGGCAGCTGTTGTCAGTTGGATTTCTTTTAGTGTTGGAAATATACAAGCCTAGGGTTATAAAATACCCTGGTGCAAACCAAATACCGGAATTGCACAACTGACAAAGCCTTGGCTTGGCATGGCTTCTTCTTGGGCACTGAAACTCCTATGTGATCCTCAAACAGCTGAGGTTACCACTTTGGAGCCCTTTTCCACTACATTTATATGTGAGCCATCACGCAAACATCTGCCAGGCACTGGGGATACAAAGGTGATATATCTGTCACTGGCATTCTGAGCAAGAGCTTGCTACAATTTAAATATTGGTTTTTCTTAGGGACCAAGGCATGGTATTACACTATATTCCTTCTCCACAGAATGAAAAATTACTTTAAAAATATGTTATATACTATACAGAATTATCTTCCTATCACTTTTCACTTCAGCCTGAGCATTAAACGATTTTATGAACGAATGGCTTAAGCAGACACACGGTGTTTGATGTCAACAACAGTGGAATGAGGATGGTCTTGGATAACTCACTTAAAAAAAGAAAATAATCTGTCTGTACATATGCTTGGTAATTCAGCTGTGCTGTAGTTCTCATGTAAGGTGAATGGACCAGCTGCAAATGTGAGATATTGAGCATATATGTACATATAAATGTGTGTGTGTGAGCAGATGCTACTCAAAGATGATTAAGCGCACACTGTCTGTGAGGAGTTTAGGACTTGAAAATATCTAATAAAACTACCCAGTTATTTTAAAAAATACTTCGTGATTCTGTTAGAAAACTGGATTTATTCACCAAACACTTACAGTAAATTTAACCCAATTTCCTCCCCTTCCCCTCCTGTCTTAAATTATACTATTAATAATTTCCAATTTTCAGTTGGCATTTTCTTCCTTTTCTTTGGCTGATTCATATGATTTTATCAAAAGAGATAAATAAGAACTGAAACCAATAATGAGGGCAGAATTATCTAGAATTGTTCAGAACACAGAGGAAGAAAAGGACTCCCTGTCCTTCTCTTCTCCCATATTGTCTAAGGAAGAAAGGCCACCTTGATCCAATGCTAAGGACACAGCGACTGACTTTCTTGGCATGTTACTGTGTTTCCCTGGTGTCCCTACTCCTTGCCCCATGATTATACCAGTTCTATTTTTCTTTTGAGGTTTTCATCTCGTCTATGTGCAGGGAGACATGGAATGGACCTGGATGCTCAGGCTTGCCCCATCTGTCCACCCTAAGATCATCTAGGAGTGGGAAGGAGAATTGGTAGCTATCATAGCATTGAATTTAAAATGCTGTCAGGTTTTATTCTAGTAGAGATGCATTTGGTTCTTTAAATTTTTTTTTTCAACATTTATTTATTTTTGCGACAGAGAGAGACAGAGCATGAACGGGGGAGGGGCAGAGAGAGAGGGAGACACAGAATCGGAAACAGGCTCCAGGCTCCGAGCCATCAGCCCAGAGCCTGACGCGGGGCTCGAACTCCCCGACCGCGAGATCGTGACCTGGCTGAAGTCGGACACTTAACCGACTGCGCCACCCAGGCGCCCCTAGATGCATTTGGTTCTTTGGACAAATTTTAACCAAGGTATACAAACCTCCATTACGGTGGACTTAGTATGCAATCATTTTATAGGTAAAATATCAAAGCAAACCAATCCATAGGTTTTTGACAGTATTCTCTACTATATTCTGTATGTAACAAATAGTAAATGGAATGTAATGAGAATTTTATTTTGTGACTAGCACTCTGATATTTGTTACTAGTTTTTGATCTGCAAGTCTCATTTAAAACAAATAACATTCTTAAGCACAACACAGCATAATTTAATATCTTACTCTAAAATATGATGCAACTGTTTGTGTTTTCATGTTGGTTGTCTCTATGGCGTGATGTGTGGCTTCTCCAGTTTCACCCTACAGAGACCAAGAAAGACAGTGACGTTTCGTTATCTATTGTACTTTATGATCCACAGGGAACACATGGAATTTCCTTTGGGTTATCACAGGCTATGCATTCAAATACATAAAATAACAAAATGTTAATATTTTTACTGTAGGGTGATTGTTTCATCAGCTGCATTGGAATTTTAATTGGTCTTGTATAGAATGTGACTATCTCAGATCTTTACTAATATACTTTGAGTTGCTCCTAGCGTAATATTAAAATGAGCTATAAAAGAAGAGTTAGGAATATATCATAAATGCATGATTATTTTAGCGGCTAGCAGTAATATGAACATAACTGCTTAAGCAGAAAAGAAAGATCAAAAAGGCAAAACTAAGGAAAATGATGCTTACTTTTAGGAGCACACAAACATTGCCATTGTAAAGGTTATATTCTTAGACTCACTGTCATGCAAAATGCATTTTCTTACCTTTGTCAAGTTGATCGTTTTTTCTGAGGTCCTCATTTGATAGTTTATTATATTTTTAGTTTTAGAATGTGGCAGATTACCTATGGGAATATGGATAAAATTAATACACTTAATGGCTGGAAGACTTCCCCCATTTACTTAAGTATTAAAATAAACATTCTTGATCCCACAATATTCATCCTTAGTAAAGTATTTATGAGAAATTAAGGGATAAAGTAATATTGCATAAACATTTGTAACAAATTTTAAACTCAGAAAACAACCCTCCAGCTTGGAGATTAGAAAAAGTACAGGTGAGTGTTGGATTTCTTTTAATTGCTACAGGATATGTAGCAATTTAATTTGTGTGTGTGTGTGTGTGTGTGTGTGTGTGTGTGTGTGTGCATATGTGTGTGTTAAATGGCATCTGAGATTTTCTTGAACACAAAGGTAAACTTTACAAGGGGCCTTAAAAATCATATAGATTATTAAGTCATGAAGTTGTTATAAGAAAATCACGAATGGTTGAGAGCAATGGATATGTTCAGTCTAACATTCAGAAATCAGTGCATGGCGCAGGTGCTACTTAAGCATGCACAATCCAAGGCCGTGAGAATACTCTGGAGTAGTGAAAAATTATGGCCATGGGAGCCAGGAAGACCTGGATTTGAATACCAGCTGTGGTACTTAAATTGTGTTTCTCGTGAATCACTTACTTTGTCTCTGAGTTGCATCTTGAAACTACATAATGGGGATAATGCTGTCTCGGCTGCCTCACAGAATGTTGATGACACGTGGAACTATGCCTGGCACATGGTGGGTGGCTGGAAATGTTAGTTCATCTTCTCTCTTGTACCACCCCCCACCAAGCACAATACACCAACCCACAATCCAAGAGTTCGTCATCCCAATAGCAATGTTCAAATCTGTCTCCAGAATTCAGTATCACTTCAGAAAGATTATTTCTTTTCACTCTCATTCTTTTAAGTGAGAAACAGAGGCTACACATTTTTGACAAATCTTTCACTTTCTTTGTGGTGGCAAAAGGCTGGCTCTGAGGTGATGATGTGGGATGGGACCCTGCCTGGGATGTGGCTGGCAGTGCCTCTGCTGTGCGGTCTTCCCCCTCCCTCGTCATCAGGAGAAGTGCTACAATGGGTGTGTGTGCCCGCCTTTATGATGGGCTGCACACCCTTCAGATGTGAAACTTCTGCAGACAGCAGAATGGATAGAGACAGTAACACATGATCTTCGGAAGGGCAGCTGTGGAATTTCATTTGTTCTTTTTTTTTTTAAGGGAAAGTTTGAGGAAAAAAAATTACCAAAAGTACTACCAGCTTGAAGACTGCTTGGGAGCATAGTAAGTATACAAAGGACTAGTAGCACATTAATTAGAATAGATCCATTTATGGGGTGCCTGGGTGGCTCAGTGGGTTAAGCATCCAACTTCAGTTGGGGTCATGGTCTCATGGTTTGTGGGGTTGGGCCTTGCATGGGGCACTGTGCTGACGGCTCAGAGCCTGGAGCCTGCTTCAGATTCTGTGTCTCCCTCTCTCTCTGCCCTTCCCCTGATCTCGCTCTGTCTCTCTCTCTCTCAAAAATAAATGTTAAAAAACAATTAAAAAAAAAAGAATAGACCCATTACTTAATAGATACCATTACTTAATATTAGCCAAATAAGAACTAAAACTTTAAATTTCTCTGAAAACTAAAAAACAAGAGGAAATTTACTAAGGGATTAATAATTTCAATGTAAAAAATTATACACTAGTCATCAAATTCTTTAACAAAAAAATAAATGAAAGTCTTTTAAAAATTCATCAGTGCATATCAACGGAACTAAAATTAGCATAGATCTTAATTTCAGAAAATATATCCATTTTGCCTTTATAGTTGACCTGATAAACCTGATAAAATAAATCAAGCTAGAGATGTGAGCTGCAAGGAATTGTGGTACATTTCCCCCCAATAATGGCTGAGCTGTTAAAGTCATACATGTAAAGGGCCATAGTTATTTTAGAATCTTGGAGACAGCATAACATAGGATTGAAATACCCAGACTTTTAAGCCCACTTCTAAGACTTCCCAGAGGAGCTACACTGGGAAAGCTGCTCAACATTTCTAAGACTCAGTGTCTCATCTATAAAAGTAGTTCGTCCTGAAGTGTTGCTATTAGGAGTTAATGAAAGTATTCAGTACAATATCTAGCACACTGCAATTTCTAAACAAATTTTATGTATTATTATTGTTATCATCATTATTACTATGTTTGCATATCTAGGTGAATATGAAACCCAAATGCCTCTGATAGCTTTGAGATTCTGAGTCAATGAAACATCTTTGATTTTGAAGTTCTCATCTCCCTAGCCAACGAGACATGGTTCTGATGATATTCAGAAGACAAAACATAGTATTGAAAACCTGGTTGCATATTTTATAAGGATGAAAAAAATGAGATTAGATGCACAGGTGCAGTTGGTGGATACAGAAAGAGATGACTGACTGAAGGGGTGCCTGGGTGGCTCAGTTGACTGAGCATCCAACTTCAGCTCAGATCTCATGGCTCATGAGTTTGAGCCCTGCATTGGGCTCTGTGCTTACAGCTCAGAGCCTGGAGCCTGCTTTGGATTCTTGTCTCTGTCTCTCTCTGCCCTTCCTCTGCTCATTCTCTGTCTCTATCTCTGTCTCTCTATCAAAAATAAATAAATGTTAAAAAAACCCCTGAAGATGTTTTGCTTCTGGGCATGATAAAATAACACAGCCTGCATTAACTTAAATAACTAAAAAAAACCATACAAAATATATCAGCAATAGTTTTTCTTCCTTTTCATTTTTATTGTAAAATTTACGTAACATAAAATTTAGCATCTTAATCATTTTTAAGTGTACAGTTCAGTAGCATACCTTTATAATATTATGCAACAATCACCACCATCCATCTCCATAACTTTTTTTTATCTTGTAAAACTGAAATTTTATACCCATTAAATACCAACTCTCCATTCCTTCCACCTCCAACCCCTGGCAACCACCATTCTGCTGTCTCTATGATTTTGACTGCTCTAAGTAGCTTATATAAAAAGACTCATACCATGTTTGTCAATGTATAACAGTGTTTAAATACTGTGCATGAAGCAGTCCAGGACATTGATCCCTCAGCAAGGGGAAACAAATGAGGTGAGCCCTATGATTACTCCAGCTTTCTGTCTACGAGGTTTTATGCTGTAATGCAAGGGGAGGAATCCAGGTGAAGAATATGGAAAATAACAGATGTAACAATAGAAGACAAACAGCAAATGGTGGAGTCAAACCCAACCGTATCAATAATCACACTAAATATAAATGGTATGATCACCTCAATTAAAAGGCAGAGATTGTAGGCATTTAAAAAAGGAAGGTCCAACTACATGCTGTCTAAAAAAAAAAAAAGTTTAAATATAAACACAAAAATAAGTTGAGGTTGAAAGTATAAAAAAAGATATACCATTCAACCACTAGTCATAAGAAAGCTGGAGTCTCCATATTAATATCAGGCAAAGTAGATTTCAGAGCAAAGAATATTACCAAGGATAAAAAGGGACATTTAATAATAAATAAAGGGGTCCATTGATCAAGAAGATATAATAATTCTAAATGTTTATATGTCCAATAAAAGATCTGAAAAATACATGAAACAAACCTGATAGGAATGAAAGAAAAAATAGATAAATTGACAATTACAATCAGATATTTCAAAACTCCTCTTTCAAGAACTGGTAGAACCAAAAGAGAGACAACCAGTAGGGATACAGAAGATTTGAGCATTGACCAATACTATCAACCAAGCTGACCTAACTGACATTTATATAACTCTCCATCCAACACAGTGGACTACACATTATTTTCAAGTATAAATGAAATGTAAAACAAGGTATACCATCTTCTGGGCCATAAAACATATCTCATTAAATTTAAATGGATTAAATCATACAAATAATGCATTCTGAGCACTATGGAATTAAATGAAAAGGCTACAACACAAAGATATGGAAAATACCAATATTTTTAGAATTTAAATATAATACTTACAAATAATCGATGTAAGTACTTATATTAGAAAAGAAGAAATGTTTTCTTAAATCAATTACCTAAGTTCTCACCTTAGAAATTTGAAAAAGAAGACAAAATAAAACCCAAAATAAACAGAGGAAAGGAAACAAAAATGACAAAAGCCAGAAAGAAAAAAAGCAAGAAAGCAAGCATGCAAGCAAGCAAGCAAGAAAGAAAGAAAGAAAGAAAAAGAAAGAGACATCAACAAAATAGAAAGCAAAGCCAAGGGAGAAAATCAATGACACTATATACTATTTGCTAGTTCTTTGAGAAGATCAATAAAATTGATAAATATCTAGAAAATCTATCAAGAATAAAGTGAAAGACAACACAAAAGATCCATATTGGGAATGAGAGTGCTGATAAAACTTCAACATCTATAGATACTAAAGAATAATAAGGGAACATTATAATCAACTTTATGTCAATAAATATGACTACCTAGATGAAATAAATTTCTTAAAAGACACAACCTACTATAAAGCTCATTTAAAAAATTAGATAACTTAAATATCCTTATATCTGTTAACAAATTGATTGAATTTGTAGTTAAAAACCTTCTCACAGAAACTCTTCAGGCCCAGATGGCTTGCTTCACTGATGAGTTCCACAAAAGAATTTAGAAATAAATAATACTCTTCCTGAAAATTGAAGAGGAAGCAATACTTCTAACCCATTCTATGAGGCCAGTATTACTCTGATCCCAAAATTAGAAAAAAATTACAAGAAAACAATAGCCCAATATCCCTCATGGACATAGATGCAAAAATTCTTAACAAAATGTTAGCAAATTGAATCTAGCCATACATAAACGTCCAATGGATCATGACCATGTCAGGTTTTTCCCAGGAATAAAAAGTTGGCATAACATTCAAAAATCAATCAATGTAACTCACCATATTTATAAATTAAAAAATAAACAAACGAATGATCATCTCAATAGATACAGAAAAAGCATCTGACAAAATTCAAAGATGCATACTTGATAAATATTCAGAAAACTAGGAATGGAAAGAACTTCCTCCTACTGATAAAGGACATCTATGAAAGACCTACAGCTAACATCATAGTTACTGGGGAAAAACTGAGATCTCCCTCTGAGATCAGGAATAAGGCTGGAATGTTTACTCTTACCACTTATATTCAATATTGCATTGGTGAATCTACCCAGGGCAGCGAGGCAAGATGAAGACATGCAGAAGAAAGGGCAAACTTTTTTCACAGATGACATGATCATCTACATAGATGACCTATGTAGATCATTCTATATAAAATTTACCAAAAAAAGCTACTCTAATAAATGAATCTAGCAACATTGTAGGGCAAAAGATCAATGCAGAAAAATCAACTGGATTTCTCTATACTAGCAACAAACAGAATTTGAAATAAGTTACCATTTATAATAGCATGAAATCTGATATACTAGCAGATAATCTGACAAAAGATATGCAAGACTCACACACACTGAAATCTACAAAGTATTACAGAGAGAAATTAAAGAAGACTTAAATAAATGGAGAGCTATATTGTGCTCCCTGATTGGAAGACTTTCTAAAGATCACTGTAACCCAAAGATTTCTGTAGGATGATCCAATATGGCTGTTGTTATGGGCTGAATTGTGTCCCTCCAAAATTAATATGTTGAATTCCTAACCCCAATCCTCAATATTGTGAAGATACGAATTAGACTAAAATTAATTTATAGCTCCAGGTACATCTCACCAGGATTTTGGGTAGAAATTGACAAGCTTATTCTAAAATTTATATGGAAAAGCAAAGGAATTATAATTGCCTCGACAACTGTGAAAAAGAACAAAGTTGGGTAGCTTATACCACTTGATTTCAATTATTTTTTATAAAGCTACAGTAATCAAGAAGTGTAGTATCAGTGTGACATAATTGAAAGTCCAGAAATAGATCTATACATATATAGTCAATTGCTTTTCAACAGGCTGTCCAAGCAATTTAATGGGGGGAAGAAGAATCCTTTCAACAAATGGTGCTAGAACAACTGGACAGGGGTCAGGAGGAGTAGTAGGAAGGATTACAGAGTCACAAGGAAAAATGATCGGGGATGATGAATATGCTTTTGGTTTTACAGGTGTTTATATATGTCAAAACCTCATCTTGTTTTACTGTCTAAACATATGCTATTTATTGTATGTCAGTTATACCTCAATAAAGCCATAAAAAGAAATGCAAAAATAATAAAACAAAATCTGATAAATAAAAACCAACCCAAACCACATTTTTACCTACTTAAAAGCAAATGCAAGCATGTCTATGGATGTAAGTTTTTGATCAATAAGGCAAATCTCACTAAACCTGTAGAGTCTTAAAATACCACCCAAAAGCCACCCAGTCCTGAAACAGAGGTGATTTTGAACTCTTCAGAAATCAGCATATTCTTCTAGTGAGTAGCTAAAATACCATCATATTTTCTGGCTAGTGCTTCAAATACTTTGCTTTAATGCAAACCTAGTTTGTTTACATTCATTTTTACATGTTCTTCAGACAATTTGGACAGGAGATATTAATAAATTTGTATTTAGTGAGCTGAAAACAAACCAACATAAACAATGGAGGATTATACTCATGAAAATCACAGTCAGAAACTACTTGATTAGGCCTGAGGAAGCTTCTCAGTTAAAGGACACTGTCTTGGGACACCTGGGTGGCTCAGTTGGTTAAGCGGCCGTCTACGGCTCAGGTCATGATCTCGCGGTCTGTGAGTTCGAGCCCCCCATCAGGCTCTGTGCTGACAGCTCAGAGCCTGGAGCCTGCCTCTGATTCTGTGCCTCCCTCTCTCTCTGCCCCTTCTCTGCTTGGTCTCTGTCTCTCTGTCTCTCTCTCAAAAATAATAAACATTAAAAAAATTTTTTTAAAGGAAACTGCCTTAGCTTACCTGTTTTTGTCAGAGGGTGACTGACCAGTTGCCGAATTACGCTGTTTTCGGATGATCTCAAAAGCAGCACAATATCTGTTGGAAGAGTGTCTCTATTTTTAGCTAAGAACCCACTTGCATTATAGAGGACCTGTTGATAAAGTACGTTATGATCAGTATCACAACCAACATCATCCTCATTGTCATCATCACTATCATCAGCAGCAGCAGTAGCAGCAGAATCATCAATTGGTATTTACTGAGAATTTCCTCTGTGCTGAGCAACAGGTATACAAAGATTTATAATGGTAGTCCGTTACAACTTGGTTGGAAAAGCAACCTTCTCCAGGTTTACACTATATTTTGTCAGAGAAAAATTTGCGTCTTGCTGATTTTATTTGGGTTGGAATGATAAAAGAGGTCTGATTCCTCTTGTTTATTATGTTGGAAATTTGGCACTTTCTCCTGTTGGGAGGGAGGAGAGACAAAGGCTGCAGTGGACAGAGACCCACCTCAAGTTTGAAAAAGGCAGTTTATAGAAAAGGGTGTCAGCTATCATTTAAAGAAGGAAAAAGTAGGTTTCCGTTGGCAGCCAATGTCACCCAAAGCCAGATTTTAGGATTAGAAACATGGTGCTTTGAAGCTTGTCTCTTTCTTTTCTTTCTTGTTTTCCCTTAGTTTCTTAATACAAATTCCTCTAGAAAAACTACAACAATGTGTTTGTCAAACTAGGAGAAGGATTTTTTTTTAACCTTTGCAGGATAGATGCTAGGGGTAGATGCCCTGGAGTGGGAGTAGCTGGCAGTGGATCACACAGATTGTAGGAGGTTGGAGAACAGAGTCAGGGCCAGACTGGGGCAGAAACAAATGGCTATCTTATTATAACCATGTGTAAATATTTTGGGCCATAACTTTCATGTTCACCACTATTATTTGATGAAAGGCTAAGAGAAACTCAGTCCTAATTCTTCAAAGTTCTTACCTTTCCCGCATAATGGTGAATTCCAAAACTAAGTTCCATTCTTTTGGGCCTCCAGAAGTACTGTGATTTCAGGTTACCTTCAAATTTTTCTGTAGAAAAAAAGTTGAGCCCCAATATCAAGCCATGTAGGAGATCCTCAAAAATACTTATTGACAGAATCATCTCTTTCACCATAAAATGGACAGTGTGCAGTGGAAAAAACAATTTTACATAGTTGATAAACCCAGATTTGGGATATAAATGGTGGAGCAAAACTCAAGATCATGAATTTAACCACTCCATTAAGATTCAGAGCAGTTCTTAAACCTTAGTAAGCATTGGAATTCCCTGGAGGGCCTATTAAAACACAAAGCTTCTGACTTAGTAGGTCTGAGAGTGGAGGGAATCCAAGAAGTCACATTTATACGAAGTTCCCAGATGATACTGATGTTCTTGGTCTGGGGACCACATTTTGTGAACCATGGGTAGAGAGGAAGGAAACTGCCTGAGATCAACTGATCAAAGAGGTTTGTGAAACCCAGTTTGATATGAAGTGATGAGCTTAGGAATCTGGCATTCTGGTTCTCCTTTCTATCAGGGGAGCTCTAAGTTATTATCCATTACATAGGAAAAATGTAGGATCATAAAGGAAGTTACATCCCTTTAACAATTTTGCCACCTTCAGAGAACTTTTTGCTCCACGTCCTAGAAAGGACATTGTAACCTCAAAATCAAGTAATTGCTACGAAACAATTTTTCCCACAACTCTGGGGTTATTTTCTTTTTCACTAGCATGGTCCAATTAGAGGAGAGAATTAACCAATCAGTGAGTCAGCAGGAAGTGACATCACAGACCTAATCATAAGAAACAGAGTCTATCACCCAAAGTAAATGAGAGAAATGTGAATCCAAATTTTCTGCAAATATTTATTATACATAATCAATATCTCCTACCAACAGGTAATATGGTATTTCCACATTAAAAAAAATTATTTTTCACCTGAACAAGCTAAGGGTTTTTTTTTTTTAATCTCAGGAGTAAGACATTTTTACTTTTAACCATTTTAGTTGATCATCTTTTTAAATATAGGATACCATGGGGCGCCTGGGTGGCGCAGTCGGTTAAGCATCCGACTTCAGCCAGGTCACGATCTCGCGGTCCGTGAGTTCGAGCCCCACGTCAGGCTCTGGGCTGATGGCTCAGAGCCTGGAGCCTGTTTCCCATTCTGTGTCTCCCTCTCTCTCTGCCCCTCCCCCGTTCATGCTCTGTCTCTCTCTATCCCAAAAATAAATAAACGTTGAAAAAAAAATTTTTTTTTTAAAAAATATAGGATACCTATCTGTGCCTTCTCAAACAGAAAAAATGAATATGTTTATGCTTTCTTTGAAGACCCAGGATTATTATGAATATTTATTAACGTACTGTAATTTAGAGATTATTAAGGTGTTTGAGTCTATTTCACTGTATTAGACAAGTGACCAGAACATCGCAGACAAATTTATTTCCTTCCCATTAGCTGTCTCTTTTCAAATTCTACAGCTGGCCCTTTGCCCTGCCCTCTAATTTCTAATTAGGGGCTGGATAATTTTTTTTGGGGGGGGGTGGATAATTTCTAAGGTTATTTCTAATACAATATCCTGTAATTGGGGCTCTACCATAATGTATGGAGAAGTCCAATATCCAAACTTGTTTAATTCATTAAATATTTCACCCTATCATAAACATTCACTGGTCCAGATATTAGATCCAAAGCCTCTTCTTTAAAGTGACACATGCAGGCTTTGTAATAGCTATTTTCTCCCAGATAATGAAACAACATTCTTTTTAAGTCACTGAGAGCATTATAGGACTACAGCACAAAACTATGCAGACATGCTGGATTTAAAACTCACCTATAAGAGTCTGGTCGGTGGCCTTGGGAAATCTACTTTCTTCATCAAGTAGGGACAGTAGACCCATCGGCTTCTGCAGAAACATATCTAGGAGGGGCCGGTTATCTTCATATTCAATAACTCTGGCATTAACATCCTCATTTAGGTATTCATTCTATAACAGGACAGGATTCATAGAAACAATTCACTAAACATTTATGAATGATATGTAGCTTGATAGTAATTACCCAAAACTCTATTTTACACATAATATAATAAATTGCTTCCTATGACGTCCTTAAAGTGAGGGTATCATTTTATTTTTCTTTCCCCAAAGTTCATTAAAGGCAGTGCTGATTTGGGGTAATAATAATAGTTTCTAGTCTCTATACCAGAATTATAGACATCTTAAGCTTTCAAAATGCAAAAAAATATGTTGTTAATGAGCAGTAATAAAGGTATGCTCTAGGGGCGCCTGGGTAGCTCAGTCGGTTAAGCGTCCGACTTCGGCTCAGGTCATGATCTCTCGGTTTGTGAGTTCGAGCCCCGCGTCGGGCTCTGCACTGACAGCTCAGAGCCTGGAACCTGCTTCAGATTCTGTGTCTCCCTGTCTCTGCCCCTCCCCTCCTCATGCTCTGTCTCTCTCTGTCTCTCAATTATAAATAAACGTTAAAAAAAAAGGTATGCTACAGAATTTATAGAGTATTAATTAGGTATATCTTAGACTTATACTGCCTCTTACTGAAGCCTTTTATCTAGCTTCTGGAATGGATCTCTCAAGAACATTTACTTCTCAGTCATGATGCCATTTACATTGTTAGTAGGGTGGACATCTGTGACTCACAGGAATCAAAGGATTGAGAACCAAGAACACCTGGGTTCATATCTGGGCTCTGTCTCTTAACTAGCCATATAATCCTTTGGATTTTATTTGTTTGTTTGTTTTTTACTCTATGAGCTCCCACTGTCTCATTTACTAAATGGAGGTAACAACCTCTATCTAACAAAGTAAAAATATCTGGTACATTAATAACCAGTTGCTGTTGAGTATACTATAAGATGCATAAAATAAAAACAATGAATAACAATTACTGTAAGATCACAGTGCCAGCACAACATGGTTGCTGATGATCTATTCTGCAAAAGGGACATGAAGAATTATGCTGTCGCTCCATTTCTATGACTTTGCCCTCACACTGTGCCTCTACCCCAGTGCCACAGTCTGTAAGAGGACAGGCATGACCTGTGCATAACGACACAGAGAGACGCTCACCTGCTTGGCACTCACCAGTTCTCAGGTGATTAAGCAACTATCACTGGGAAGTGTATCAAATAACTCCCGACTCAGGCAGAATACTCTGCACCATTCACAAATTAAAGTGACAGGACATTTTCATTATTATTTTAATATACTCGTTAATTCATGAAATATTTTCATTAAACATCTTATAAGAAGGCACAGTGATGGGTGATAAAGAGCTGTTTAACACAAACTCCCTGTCCTCAGTGGATTTAAAATATAACTTGAGTGATAGAGTTAGTAAATATTCAAAATTCAAGGTAGCATATGATAAGTGATATGTACAATGTAGTACCATAAGGAGTTCAGAGAAAGAGAATTTATTTCCGGCAACTTCATGGAGGAATTTAATTCCATCAATGGCAGGTGGGTCATCTGATAAGTCAAAACCTTTAATCAGTATTTTGGAGCCTTATGAAATTGAAATCTCATTTCAAGGGTGTCACCCAGAAAAATAAATGTATACTTTTAAGTAAGACAAAATCTAATACGTAACAATTGGGCAGTGCCCATTGGCCTAAAAGGTAGATCACCGGAAAGTCATTTAGTTAATCCAGTACATAAAAATGGAAACAATGTCTAAAAGTTTCACAGCTTTTTCATTTGAAGGTAACCTTGGGAGCAATACACAGACCCAGAATTACTTTACCAGTAGACACATTAGGCTGACAGCATATTATAGCTTAAATGGCAACTGCAAAGTTCAAAAGAGGTTTTGTGTGTTTTGTATAGAAAGCACATAAGGTTAATATCTAAATCAATGCATTTGTCATTTCTATTTGCCTGTGTCAAAATCCAGGGAATTCTTTCCTGGCAGGTCATACACAGCAGAGATGAGTAACTTGGAAAACAATGGGCTCCCCTTGAAGATACATGTTAGTATTATGGACTCCAGGCAAGTCAGTGGAAAAAACATGCTATTACTCAGGATTTATGAAGCATTTTAGCAAAATGATCACGTCTAAAACAATAGAATATATATTTTTATAGCAGTTACGACCCCCAAATACTTAGTTGTTTTTAAGTCTAAGTGGAGAAACAAAGCTCACATAACTCTTCAGAAAGTCCTCTGCTATGCCCTGTGTGTTACAAATACATTCAAAGCAGAAGATGAGTAGTTCTTAACTGCAATAAACTGTTTAGCACATATAATCTCCACTCTGTTCAAAGGGCCCAAGTTCCTTTTTGAGAAGGACAGATGAATAATTATTTAAATATAAATCAAGGAGGTGAGGGAAATCAGAAGACTTGGATGTTAGGAAGCCTCATGCCTGAGTCAAGTTCTTGCTTGTTTTTCATTGTTTTTTTTTTTTTTTCCAACATTTATTTATTTTTGGGACAGAGAGAGACAGAGCATGAACGGGGGAGGGGCAGAGAGAGAGGGAGACACAGAATCGGAACAGGCTCCAGGCTCTGAGCCATCAGCCCAGAGCCTGACGTGGGGCTCGAACTCACGGACCGCGAGATCGTGACCTGGCTGAAGTCGGACGCTTAACCGACTGCGCCACCCAGGCGCCCCTTTCATTGAGTTTTTAATGTGAGCTATGAAAAGGTCACAGTGGCAAGAAAGCCCATGGAAGGTGCCCCCCTCCGCATAGCTTTGGCCTAGACAACATGCTTAAATACACAGGGCTAAAGTGTCACCACAGGAGAGATTCTCCATGCCTAAGTGGAGTTCTCAGTCTCACAGAGTAGCATGGAAGAGGGGCTGCCATAGACTTAGAGGCTATAAGCTTCCCTGTGGCTTCTAAGGTAGGTAGGAATCTTAGCATAGACCTCATCATAGACTGCCACGCAAGAGAGGCTGGACTCTAATCATTCAGGTCTCACCTCCTCTGAGAGTCCTTCCCCCATTGCCCAGACTAATTTAGCAACCCTCCCTTCCTCAGCTGGTCATGCTCTATCCTTGCCGCCATGTTTTAAATTCTTTCAAAGTATTTCTAGAATTTTTACTTGTTTATTATTCTCCCTGTCTCATTAGAATGGGACCTCCAAGAGGACACTTTTACTCACCTCTGTATTATTCACCTCTGTATCTAGGGAGAGCAGCCATGTTAAATAGATGACCGTATGTTAAGGAGTAAACTGTGTCCCCCAATCCCCAAATTTATATGCTAAAGCCCTAATATCCAATGTGACTGCATTTGGAGATAGGGATATTAAGGAGGTGATTAAAGTTAAAGGAGGTCGTAAGGGCAAGGCCCAAATCCCATAGGACTGGTGTTCTTCTATGAAGAGGAAAAGACCCCTGGGAGGAGACTGCACACAGTCAAGGCCACGTGAGGTCACAGGGAGAAGACAGCCATCTGCAAGTCCAGGAGACAGGCCTCAGGAGAGACCAAACCTGTCCCTGCTTTCATCTTAGACTTCTAGCCTCCAGAACTGTGAGGAAATAAATTTCTATTGTTGAAGGTCCCCACTCTGTGATATTTTATGGCAGCTCCAACAAATGAATATAATGAGTTCTCTGGGTTCCTTTTATTAAAAGTTGTTTTGAAAGGCTATTTGCTAGGTAGAGGAGGATTGGGGTGAAAATAATAAATCATGTGTGCATGGGTAATCCTTAGCTTCTGATTACAAATGTGCTCATATAAAAGTTACAATATGGAGAAGCGCCTGGGTGGCCTGTTGGTTAAGCGCCCAACTCCAGCTCAGGTCATGATCTCATGGCTCATGAGTTGAAGCTGCATGTTGGGCTCTGTGCTGACAGCTCAGAGCCTAGAGCCCGTTTCAGGTTCTGTCTCCCTCTCTCTCTGCTCCTCCCCCGCTTGTGCTCTGTCTCTCAAAAATAAATAAACATTAAAAAAATTATAAAATTTAAATATGGAAACACCTTAATGGAGTCTTAATGACCTCAAAATTCACACACAAATTCATCTGCTCTAAATACTATCTTACCATTTAGTAGAATCTTTTCCTATGTATGATATTTTTAATAACAAAAAACATACTATTTATTTGATTTTAGCTTTATTTCCTTTGACAAAATGGAATGGAGAACATGTAATTAATGGATTTTCATGACCATTATTTGAATGGCTACATGACACTGTATCCTGTAGTTTTCTATTCAGTTCTCTTATTTGGGACATTTTGGATTACTTATTTTATTTATTTTCATTTTTAAAGTAGTCTCTATAACCAACGTGGGGCTTGAACTCATGATCAAGAATCGCAAGCACCACCATCTGAGTCACCCAGGTGCCCCTTTTATCTATTTTAAATAGTGTTCTGATGTATATCCTTGTGCACCAAGCTTTTCTGGATTTTGGATTTTACCTTTAGGACAGATTAGCTGATCAACTAGTGTGAGTATTTTACAGGCTCCATATGTGTATTTCTAGATTGATTTTTTCTAAGCTTGCCGCAATGTGCTTTCTAATCAGCCCTGCATACCCGTTCCTATCTTGCTGTATCCTCACCAGCACTGCATATTCTCATTAAAATTTTTTTCTGATATTTTTGATAGGTGAAAATGACCATGTATTGTTGTATTCGCATTTATTTGATTAGATCTTAAACTACTTAAGAGGATACTTTTGGGGGGAAATATGGTAGATCTATGCTTAGCCCATATTACACAATGCCTGCCAGCTATTGTGTCATTATTCTGAGACATAATAATAAACATAATTTAACTTCTTCTTGGGCACAGAAATACCATCACACCACTGTTGGCTTTTGTGATGTGGGCAAAGATTTGTGGAGGTAGAGATCAGAGTTAGAGGAAAAGCTCAGGGACTTCACTAAAAACATCCTTCATGTTAGGTTGACTTTTGTTTCTTTGTCTCTTTCTCATTTGTTTTTACATGTCCTCCTGGTCATGTGCTATCTCTATCTTCCTTAGGAATTTATTCCTGGGGGTGGTTGGCTGG